TCATGAAAGTGCATTTACATTTGAGCGATTTCTCGAAGCCCGTTACTCCCATGGTTGATTTTTCGAAACTTTGCGCATTCAGTTTCGATTGTGGACGTCCAATCATGCACTTTCAAGGATTCAGTTAAGTAACAGTATCATTCAATTTCACGATGCACAAGCGTCACTCAATTTCGCCCTGGGCGACTGGGAGGTGGATTCCTACCCAAATTTTACTTTCATATCCGTCAATGGGCCCTCATATTCGCAATGTTAGCTTTTCAAAGCATATGTACCTTAAGTATTGGAGAAAAGATAGGGTTTCTGTATAATTATGATACGTGTACAGTTCCGGAGACGTCTTGATCGCTGGCGATATTTACCCTGGATCTTTATTATCCCCAACCTTTTCATTTAACTTATACTGGTATACTTTTGTTCTGTTAAATGCTTATGGGGATAATATCGTGTTGTTGTTTTTTTAAGTAAAAAATTTCGGATTACACGAAACCAATTTTGTCCTTTCATTTTATAAATCCTCAAACAGGAAAATTACAAGATTACTGCTGAAAATATTGAGTATTTTGTCATTGTTTTAACAATCATTTAACCAGATAAGAAGAATTTGATCATTTCTTTTTCTCGTTTTAAGCAGAAATAAATACGTACATTATAGACAAGAGGTTCTCCCATCAAGGTGATGTTAGTGTACTGAGAAAGATTTTTTTCTGCGAGTGAAACCCCTCTTCTTCATGATGGAGTTTGAATAAATTAGTCAAGCATAAAACATTTCAAATTTGTAAATTAGACTTCGATGAAAAACATTGCACGGATGTCAGAAATGCTCGCCTATTCACGAAGTCGAATGCCTATTACGAGTACCGCAGAGTGACCGTGCGAATTTGACTTCTGCTCTGGGGGTTTTCTAAACTGAATAGCGACTCAAACTTTGCTGTTTCACAGGAATTTGCAATCGCGTGCTCATGGAGTTAAATTGAATGATTACTTTGGCCGATTGAATGTTGATCTGGATCGTCAATTAATTTCGCGCTAAATTGAATTAGCCTGACGTTAATTGGAGCGCCAATTTTAAAAAGTTGGGCGAGAAAATTTACACAAACCTCTGAAATGCACCTTCGTGTTTTCGTTTACCCTATTTTTATGTTCACTATTTTAGAGGTTTTTTGCTCCTTTTGGATTTAATGCTGAATTTAAACGGAAAAACGTAGTCAAGGAAACATTTTTCCCGAGATGACATCACAAAACAACGCACTCCGAGCAGCGTGGGTAATTTCAAACGTTCGAATTATCGAATTATACTTTTCAATACTTGTAACCTAATACGGATGCCACTTAATTTTCATACATTGAAGAAGAGTGTAACATTGCACGGTCGGATTTTGTATCAAAGAAAATTTCACTGCGGCTTTACTTTTTTCAGTTTCGGATTTATGCAAGCACGCAATCTACTCTGTATACCCGTAAAATTTGTTTGGAAAAAGGTGTTAAATGTGTGTGAACTAAATGAATTAACAGTTTCCATTTTATTTAATTTTTGGTCACAAGAGTAAACAAAGGGCATATTAATTTCCAAAACGAGAGTATTGTCTTGCTTTGACCTTTTGACATTTTTTCTTCAGATATGAATTTCATCAATCTTTCGGCAACCGAATCTGCAAGTATAATCTCCCCGTCCTATCCCGACAACTACGCCAACGATCTGGACGTTTTATGGACCGTTCAGGCGCAGAACCATTCGAGGATACTGGTCGAATTCATATCTTTCAAGACGGAGAAGTGTTTTGACTATCTAGTTATTGGGAACGGAAACAATTTTACACATTACTCCACAAGTGTCCTGTTGTGGAGTGGAAGCAATCTGCCTCCACGGATGCTGTCCAAGGGAAACGTTATGTGGCTGAGATTTAAAACAGACTCGTTTGGTAGCAGAGGCGGGTTTTCTTTGTTTGCTCGAAGTGTCTAATCACCTAGCCTACTTAATCTCAGTGGATTCCGTCTGCTTTAGGTTTTATGGAAGCGGTAAATAATTATTGCACACTGATATATGTACTAAAACGATAATTGAAGGGTCTCCATATCAGGCTGCTCAAAGCGTCTAGTCAACTATTCCACACATTGTGTGTTTTTTTCTGCTGTAGAAGTTTTATAGAAGTAATATATAGCTTTTGCAAACTGTGATACACGTTCGTAAACGACCGTCTGTTTTTTTCTATGACTTTGATGTTTAAACACTGTTTTTCCCTTTTTGAGTGATATTAAAAGCATTTTAGTCGTTCGAGGTCTGAGAGATTCTTCACAATCTGCTTTAATTTTGCTCACAATAAAAAGTGTGCAGACGTTGCATACATATATAGTGTGGACCTCTGCACAAAGAAGTTCACATAATGTAGGGTAGGCTATGATAGCGTTGT